TATATATATAATATAATATAGATATTGTATATGCTCCCGCTCCCGCTCACGCTCTGCTAGAGTTACATGGTGATCACTGGTTATTACTCTACATATCTTCGTCGATCAAGTTCTGCTCGTCGTTCGTCGATTTTGCCATTTCTGTCTGATTCGCCGTTGTCGCCGCTGTCGACATGCGTCATCTGCTGCTTGTGCGTCGTCTACTGTTTCGGGCTCAGTCGTCGAGCTCAGTTACAGGTGGCCGCGCTATTTAGCTAGGCTTTTGCAAACCGCGTTTTTTCCTTCGCAATCCAAAACTACCCTCTATTCGAGCAGGTCGTCGTCCTCGGGCTTGAGCTGAATCGCAGGGGCTTCGGGTTTCCGCTCCATTTGAAGGATAATCTGAATAATGAAAAGGATTACACACGCTTATTTGCTAGAAGGATAATCTGGATTGATAACATAATAATGAAGATTCTGAAATAGTATGTGGATTTTGACCCACAGACGAAACCACCAATCATTTTGATTTGGATTCACCTCCCTGGATTCACCAATCATTTTGATTTGGATTCACCTCCCTGGTCTGAAATTTCATTATTTTACTCAAAAAGTGTTGTACTCTATTGCCTCAGCTTATGATAAGTCATTCAAAATGGACATTCGTACCTGTAATATCTTCCGTCCATCTGAAGCCAGAGTATTTGTTGAAAGAGACATCACTTCATTCGTTTTTGAAGAAATTTGGTTGAGCACACAATAACAAGGATATTGGCAAAAGGTAGTGATTGAGTCGTTTCCTTCGTATTAATCAAACTGTCGTATGTTCGACCACTCCAGTTCTCAATGCCACCATCTACACCCACCTTAGATTAAAAAACTACAATTCTTCGCCAGAGGCAATGATTTCATCTCTTTCTGATCAGCTCAAAGTTATTGACACTGTTGATCATCAAAAGGATCCCCTGAAGATGTCACAATTCTCGCAGGCAATGTGACAACCATTTAGTTCTGACAAAACGTTGTAGCTCTCCCGTCTTTGGAATCTCCTATCGTGGGGGAAAGAGAGATTCTTCAGACCCCACCTGCCCTAGAACCTATCACCGTTATTACATGTGACAATACTTCTACTGCTTCATTACCGCCTCATCAGGTCGAGCAATATGTTAATGTTACTCTGACTCATGAGGATCATGATGTGCAACAGCCTACACCTATCCGACCAACTTTCTTTGGAATCCAACTTTGGAATCTACTGATCAGATGAGTCAATCTTCGGATGAAGAATGACAGATTTACACATCTAGGAGAAAGAAGAAGAATAGAGACCTACTTGAGCTCAGGAATCGGATGGATGATACTTTGGTTACTTCGGACAATGATACTCACCTTATCAATTTGTTAGCGGGCTCACTTTCGTGAACTAGAGACAGAGGGAGGACTAAAACAGAACGTTTCTAGCACTTTTACGCCCTTTGGTGGTTTTTTGGTCTTTTACCTTTATGTATCTTTGCTTTATTTGAGATTTTTTTGTGTTGTATTGTGTGAGTTGTGCTTTTATTTAGGCCCTCTCATACAATCTTTCTGTATATTTTTCGCTTTAATATATTAGCCCTTAAACTTTATATTTATATATATATATATGTGGGT